AATAAATTTTTGTTAAAAATATTAATTTTTCCTTAAATTCGAAAAAATAACACAGTACAACAATCTATTTAACACTTAAAAAATTTCATATTTTTTTTCTACATTTTTTGTTTTAAAATTTTAAATTATTAATATTTCATTTTAAATTTTTAGTCTGTGAGAAAATCATTTTAAGCAGAATTTATCTTTAGGTTTGTTATAATTGAGTTGCACTGTATATATACCATGTATAAAACTGAAGCGAAATTAATTTGAAAAAGAAAAAAGTAACAAAATGATTACGCTAATTGTTTTAAAATATAAAATAATTATGCAAAAATATTTAAATATTTATGTAAGTATGTATTTACACATGTATACAACGTAACTGACCAATAATTAATTTATACTGTACAATAATGCTCCCTGTATGCAGTATCCAAATAATTTTTATGCTCTGAACATTGCATAAAATTTTCATGTCTACTTACATACATACACATGTACGCAGATGTACAGTGTATATATGCATATACTTATATTATATACGTAAAAATTAAACTTATATATGTACATAAGTACATGGTACATGAATAATAATGCATTCAAATAAATTTATTTCAAAAATTTTGCAGCAATAAATATTATAAAATATTAATGCAAGTGTACTTAATTTCTTGCATACAAACATACATATGATACATAAATTATTATTGAAATAAATAGAAATTTTCCGTTTTGAATGCTTTTTGATTGATTTTTGACAATGATTTTATAATATGCACATAATTATACACTATATCTAATTTTATGATATAGGCAAAGGAATAATAAACATGTCACGAATCTTAGATAAAAAATATACAAATATGCTCATATCACGAATCTTAGATAAAACAATTTATAACTCTTCTATAACTCTATTCGTTCTTATTTTTAGTAAAGATTAAGCTTTTCCTAAAATCTTTTATTATACTTTGATCTCATTACACGATATAATTATAAAAGATTATGGGTAATACATAAATGTATGTACACACATTAACACCGGCAGATGGAGTAAATTTACTTAACATTTTAAATCGGTAATTATAACTATCAAAAGAAAGAGCAAAAAAAACTAATTTTTTATTTTATTTTGTACGAATAATAAATAAAATTAATGTTAAAGATTTTAATTAAATGATAGGTATGAGATATTTTAAATTATGAATTTTAATTTTAGTTTAATTTTACAATTATATTTTATAAAATGCAAAATATGTAAAATTTTTTTGATAAGTTTTCTGAACAGCGCATTTAAAATATAACAAGAAAATTTTTATAACAAAAATTTGTTCATACTCGTAACAATTCTGATGGAATTTTTTATGACAACAATTAGCTTTACCGAAAAACTGTCAGATTTCATTTGGTTGTCATGTATGAATATTAATTAATTCCTAAAGAGAAAATAACCATCTTCTATATCAAATCTTTAAAATTTAAATTTATATGTATTTAATATATTAAATAAGCAATTCATTTATAAATTGCCTCCAACTATTTTAAGAGTAATTTGGAATGTTGCGTTCCTTGCATCAATAGATTCACTGTTCACCATTAAATTTTTATTTGATAACCAATTATTTTACTTCTCTATTTCTCTGATAATAAAGATAAAATAACGATAAAAATTAACCTTTTTATCGTAAACGTAATTGATGTACGTATAACTCTGTTATATTCAGTTACTGAAGTAAGCAATTTACATTTTGTGATGAAAAGAGGAACGGAAAAATAATTTTCGAAATTTCATTTTAATGATTTAATAAAGTAAATACATATACATACTCGTACATATGTACATCCATTATATTATATACTTGTAAATTAGCTATAAAAAGGTATAATTAAATCCATTTATGAATGAAATCACTTAATTTCTATGTTAAGCAAATTAATTTTTATGGTAATATAAGTAATTATGTTGAATTAATAATTATTCTGTTTTATAACTATGAAATTTTAATTATAGAATTCGAATTACAAAAGCTATATATAAATGAAAAAGAGGTAAATCTTATTATTTATTGTGGTTAATTCTTTTAGAAAATTAAAATTATTGAAATTTTTGAAACTAGAAGGATTAGATAAAAATTGAAATGTTCACCATTCAAGACAATTTCAATATCTTAATGGAACCATCAAGAATTATCAAAAAAGTTAATTTAAAATCAATGTCGAATAATATTGAAAATCATGTACATATATATATATATATATATATATATATATATATATTTATTGTAACAAAGTTGTTACTATTAACAGCAATTAATTACAAAAAATTGCTTTAAGAATATTTAATTAAATTACAGTTGTGTCAAATTTTTATCCTTGCATACCTAGACAACTTTAATTTGGTTGCTGAATCTTTATTACAAAAATCATTTTCTTTAAAAATAACTTTTCAATGTTCTCTATCTACATATAAATTCTTATAAGAACAGGATAATTTCATATAATGTATAACAGTTACATGTAATCAGATATATATGTATGTATAAATTGTATACAGTTAGTGTCTTAAATTTCATATCGCCTTTTATAAATGTTATATATGTATGTAATATACTTGTTAACAAATTCATATATATATATATATATATATATATATAATATTATTTAATAACTTTATACATAATGTTAGATAGTTATGCTGTACATATAACAGTATAATATACATTTAAATTATTTTCAAAAAAAATTTATAAATTAATTTTAAATGAATTTTAATGGGAATTATAGCGGAGCGTTAATAAAAAGCTTTCACGGCAATTTATTTTAAATAACATTTTATTAACTACTTGTACACCCACATTTACTGAAAAAAAAAGACTTACGGCAAATTGGTTTTACACACAGTTAAAAACAAACAGAATTATTAAATGCAGTAGCCGCAAACGAGTTTGTTTTTTATTTTTCTCCTTTTTACCCTCTTTCCTCTATACTTTTTATTCTTTTTTCTTTTTTTTTTCATTTTCTTTTTAATTCATTTTGTTAACTAGACATCTTTCTAAGTTTTCTGTTAAGTTACACGGGTATACATATGTACATATAAATTTGTAAAAAGGTTCATGGAAATTTAATCTTTTAAATATCTGATGAATTGTCGTGTAAAGTCACTTAGTCGGCTATTAGTTGGCGTGATAATAAATTAAGAAGCTCGTTATAATGTAAACACGTCGTTGTTAATAAAAAGGGATAAAGAAAAATTAAAGAAAAAAAATTAGTGAGCTAAGAATTTAACATTAAAATATGCAATTCTATCAAATAAAAGACTGTTATGTAATTGTTTTGCATATTGTTCGTAAACGCAATACATAATATATGTACATATGTAAATGAGTACTCATGTAAATATGTGAATGAATGTTTACACAAATATTTGTGCATTTTTTACATAAAACTTACATTCATGCACTTTTTTTATTGTTTAAAGCAACATGTAAAAAAAATGTTAATTTTTTAGGTTATTTATGAATTTTGATTTTGGTTAAAGTTTCGCCAATTACATATACTTTTATAAAAAGGTTACAAAATTTTATGATTTACTTATTTAATAGAGTCACTCATTTAATATAAGGAAACCTTAAAAATTTAAATATTAAAAAATAAATTCCCATTTTTAAATTACATGTTAAAGCCCGTAGTGCTATAAAGTTTTCTTGGAACCTTCAAAATACCAAAAACATTTTTGATAACGTGATGTCACAAAAAAAGCAATTTTCTAAATTCTCCATTATATTTCCAAAAAGTGCTAATTTAATTTGGTTCTAAACCAGCTTGGTTAAAAAATTTTAAGGCCTTGCACTTTAGAGTCAGGATAATTTCTTCAAGTATTTTCCAAATAATATAACTCGAATGTATTTCGAACGCAAAATATAAATATGAGGCACAGAATAAAAATACAAGTGCTGAAGGTTCAGTTTTTCAAAATAGAAAATTTGAGTCTGGTTTTTAACTACAAATGTTAGTAAAAGTTAAATCTATTTAATTTCTATAATTTTTATACATAGATATATCAAAACTGAAAAAAAAATTATGTAAAATTTAAAAAGTACATATAGGTCTGCAAACTAACGTTAAGGACTATATTTTCATTGTTAGGTATTTTTCAGAATTTGCATTTTTAAAATTAAAATGACAAAACTTTATGTATCATATTAGGATTTTTTATATGTACAATTGTACATATTTCATAAACTAACCATAAAATACTTAATAGTAAATTTTTAGCTTAAAATAGAATTTTTCTAGCTTAAAATTTTGATTTCATATAGGTAGATACTTTAGATAGGTAAGTAAAATATTTGATGTCGCACATTTTTTTTTTCCGCGAAAGGCCCTATACATAAAAAAAAACTGCTCTTCCACATAAAAACATGTAGGTATATAATATTTAAATGAGAAAACACGAATTGCTAAAGCGCAGGCTCAATTTATAACCGTGCGATAAAAATGTAAATAAATAATTTGGATATGTGTATACTTTGGAAGTACATATTTCGAATGTCTTCTTTTTTATTTAACAATTATTACAATAAAATGACTCTCCGGATTGAAAGTTTAAAAACCGTCCCAAGGCCATCTGTGTTTTGCTTCATGAAATAAGCTAAACTTTTTTTTAAAGAAAGTTACTGTATGAAGAAAAGCTTTTTAATATCCTACTTTGAAATTCAAAATAGTCAAGGAACGTTTTAAAAGACTGAACAATTACTATGGTACTAAAAATTCAAAAGTTCAAAAAATTGGAAATTACTTTTTATTATAATATTTAATTGTTTATGTTATAATTTGATGAAAATCATTTTTAATAGCCAAGATATTTTTAAGTTTAATATTTTTTGCTCAAATTTTAGGAAAAAATGAAGTAAAATTATTATTTTTAAAACAAAAAAACACCAAATTATTTATGTATATGACACAAAAAGTATGTATGTAAATAATATAGATAAATGAAATATAAAATTACTTACGTGAGGTAAGTTATGTTTTAAAGCTGTATGGCTTTGAGATAAAATAATGTTATCATTATTGCAACTCTTAAAGTTTCGGTTTAACTTGTTTGAACCATTTATGTTACTTGCACTGTTTATGCTATTGTTGTTATTTTTACTGCAATCAGTATTACTAATAATATTTACATCGTTGTTCACATTACTTGAGCTATTATAATTATTATTATTACTAACAGTATCAATGTTGCTATTATTGCTGTTAATACAATTAGCACTATTTAATATAGAATTTAATTTATTTGAACTATCAACATTTTTTCCCATATTACTCATATAATTCAAATTATTACTACAACTTGAATTAAAATTATTTTGATTGTTTTTATTTAATATATTATTATTTTTGTAAATTTCTTTGTGACAACTACTGACATTATCGTTTCGAATATTATCATTTACATATTCTTCATTAATTCTGTTGCTATTATTATTAATATTAATGTTATTGTCATTATTTTTAATATTCTTACTATCATTTATTTCATTACTGACTTTATTACTATTGTTACTGGCATTGTTATTATTTTTGTTACCAATATCATCGACTTTAAGATCACTTATATCATTTGTGTGGAAATTACTTATATTAAAGTTGCTGCTGTTATTACCTTCATTGTTTCCTCTACGTTCATTATTAGGTATATCATTAAGACTTTTATTACTAACATTGGTATTACCAATGTATTTTTTATTATTGCAATTATTATTATTATTAACGCTATCATTATTAATATTATTGCTATTATTATTGTTATTATTATTACTATTATTATTATTATCATTACTAGCTCGATAACTAATATTCTGATCAAATATGTTGCTCTTATTACTACTGCTTTCATTATTGTTGCAGGTATTTTTATTAATTTTGAAGTTATTTTCAATATTAAAAACGATTTCATTATTTTTGCTACTATTTCCACTTCCATTACCAGCATACTGATACGGATTAACAGTGCTGATGTTACTTTTATTATCAATGCTACAACTATTATCAATCATATTATCGTTTTTGCTATTTATATTATGTGAATTTATGCTTTCATCGACGTTTTTACTATTATTAATTTTATAATTTATATTATCATTTTTGTTACTACTACAACTATCGCTATTTTTATCAATACTGTTGTCATTATCATTTTTGTTTTCAAAATTACTATTATTTTTATTAAAATTACTCCTGCTGATGTCAACATTATCATTATTAATACTATTACTAATGTTAATATTTGCGGCACTATTGCAGTTATCACTATTTAGATCATTTTTATTATTTGTATTATCATTATTATTACTATTATTATTATTATTTTTACTATTATTACTATTATTATTATTACTGTTACCATTATTATTATTACTGTTACTACTAATGCTATTATCATTATGTTTACATCGATTTGTGTCAACAACATCGTTTTTATTATTAATATTGATATCTTCATTATTAATACTACTATTACCAATGTTTTCAATTATTTTAGAGCAACTGTTGCGTTTAAGGTTATTATTATCATCGTTACTTTCATGACTATTGTTTTTGCTAGTAGTAACGTTATTATTCATATTGTTGTTATTAGCTTTTTCTATTATTTCATTATTATTATTATTATTGTCGTTATCATCGTTATTATTGCTATTACAATTATTATTGGTATTGTTATTATTATTAATAATATTATTAATGCTATTGATATTATTGTTATTATTATTGTTGTTATTATTATCATTATTATTACCATTATTATTGTTACCATTTTTATTATTGCTATTATTGTTATTATTATTATTAACATTATTGCCATTATTATTATTATTATTATTATTATTATTATTATTATTATTATTATTATTATTAACATTATTAGAATTACTATTATTATTAACATTATTACAATTACTATTATTATTAACATTATTATTATTATTATTATTTTGATTATTATTATTATTATTATTATTATTATTATTATTATTATTATAATTATTATTACCATTAATATTATTACTATTATTTCCGTTATCATTGCCGATGCTTCTATTATTATTATCATTACTATTGTTATTACTATTACGGTTGTCATTATCACTATTAGTGCTATTATTACTCTTTTCATTAGGATTACCGTTGCTATTTTGATTATTGTTTATTATATTGCTATTGCTATTATTATAGTTACCATTGCCGTCATTAATTCTATTGACGCAATTAGCGGTATTATTGTTATCTATACTTTCGTTATTATTACTGTTGACACCAAAATTATTCTGGCATGTATTGTTGTCCATACTATTAATGTTGCTATTATTGTTTCCATTATTAACAATGTTATCACTACTACCATTGTTATTAATCGAAATAGTAGTATTACCACAGTTAAGATTAATATTATTATTATAATTATTAATATTATTATTGGCATTATTATTATTACTATTAGTGTCATTTTCACCAATGATTCTATTGTTGTTGTTTATATTATTATTAGTATTATTAATATTATTACTATTATTGTTATTATTATTCTGATTGTTATTATTGCTAACAGCGATATTATCGACGTTGTTGCTGTTATAGCTATTATTACTAATATTATCAGAAATATCATTATTACTGAAACAGCTGTTATTGTGGTTGTTGTTATAGAAATAATAAAAACTGCTGTTATTATTGCTATTATGTCTATTATTGGCATTATTTGTGTTGCTGTTATTATTACTACTACTATCATTATTATTATTACTAGTATTATTATTATTATTAGTATTGTTGTTGTTATTATTATTATTATTATTACTGTTACTACATGTATTATTATTAATAGTACTATTAATAGTTTTATTATTACTAGTATTACTATTATTATTGTTACTATTATTACTATTAATATTGTTAATAGTATTACTATTAATATTATCATTGTTAATATTATTAGTGTTATTATTGACACAGTTAACATTATTATTAACATTGTTATTGTTGTTGCTGTTGTTGTCATTATTACTGACACTACTGACACAATTATTGTTATTAAAGTTATTTATATTTATAGTATTCTGATTATTGTTGCTATTATTAATTAGTAGATGATTTTCTTGCTGAACATCATTGTTTGAGAAATTATGATGAAAATCATTCCATTCACGCTCTCGATCACGTAAATCTTTTTCCCTATCATTTTGGTGTGGTCCGAATTCAATTATTTTCGGCGATTTTTCTTCTATAGAGTAATTTGAAGTAAGCTCTTCCAATGCTGATAAACGTTTTTCCTTTTTCTTTTGTGCAAATTTTACAGCATACTAAAAATTAAAAGAAATTTTTAATTAAATATTTTTTTAATTTTTACAAGCATTGATTAACCAGCGTAATTTTTGATTTTATAAAAGTTATATTTTTTAAACGTAGTAAATGAGTCAATACGAAATAAGTACAAGAATCAAAAACTTTAAAAAAAGTGTAAATTTCAAAATTGAAAAACAAAAATTCAATTAGTATTGAGAAACAAGAAGTCATTTCAATAGAAAAAACTTATATTTGTTCTTGTAACATAAAAAAAGATATCATATACACAACTTATACAAATGAACACAAAATATACTTACTTCTAAATCTTCATAAGTTTTAAAAGCTAATATTGAAAATCCATCAATTATATCTTCTTCCAATACTGGAGAATCTGGGCTAATAAATCCCAAATTTTTTACTGGAGTTGACTGATTTTTTCTTCCTGCGCAAACATTATTTCTTACTATTTGAGCTCTCGTTGATGTTGGTATTTTTTCTCTAGGTAACAGTAATGTGGAAGATGACGAAGTTGAAAGTAAATCTTCATCAATACTTTCATCATCTTCTTCATACTCTTCCATACCAACTCCGCTAGTTAAACTAATAGGTTGGGGATGTAATAACTGATTAGCTAAAATCGATGCGGGTGTTTGCAACATTACTAAATCGTTAGAATTATTTATGTTAGCGTTAATAATAGAATTTGGTGCTGGTAATAATACTGTTGAAGATGTTGACGAAGTCGTTGTTGAAGACGACGATATATTACAGTTAATATTATTTAATATTTTGCTAGCATTATTATTATTATAATTACTAAAAGAATTTAAACTAATGTTGCTATCAATATTTGGAGTTGCAGCATTATTCAAAGACAATTCTGATCTTTCTTTTATACCACTATTCAAAGTACAATTATTTAGAGCTACCGTAGCTGCATCGGCTGATGTTATTGTTGAATTATTTACAGTCGATGATTTCATTTTGAAATTTGAAGACGCTGCCGGTGACACTCCTATAGCACCTGTAACAGTTACCGTAGCTGAGGATATAGCATTAGTTATCAAGTCATTTGAAGAGCGAAAAATAGTTTTGTTGTTATTCTCATTTTGTAATCTAATTGATAATTGATTAGAAAGAGTTCCAGCCATACGTTCAGCTTGCAGTCGCTGAGCACGTTCTCGACGTTTCTTTTGTTGCCGTTGCAATTTTACATTACTGCTACTATTTGTAGTACTATTACTATTTGTGCTTGAATTACTATTGTTGTTACTATTCAGTTGTGAAAGTTGTAACAATGGAACCGATTCTTCATCAAAATCTGAATCATCTTGAGCATTGTTTTGTAATAAGGATATAGATGTTGTTGTTGTTGGAGGAGGTAATACCGTATTATTATTACTAATAGTGTCATGTAAGTCTTTAAATACGCTAACAGGATTCACATTATTGGTATCTGTTTCATTTGTTGTAATATTACCGCCACTCTCGTTTTTAACAGACGACTTTACATCACTCGACGGATCCATAATAACATATTTTTAAACAGTTCCTCTAAATTAAATTGTCTTATCATTATTAAAACATTCCAAAATTACTGTGTATTAATTTAAAATTAAATATTTCTATAAAATGTTGTGTTGGTCGATCTTCATATTTATTAAGTATTTTTATTTTGTGCTCTCATTTTTCCTCCTTCATATATTGAACTAAAATAAATTAAAAAAATAAAATAAAATGAAAATCAGTAGTTCATTAAGTAAAATTAATCGAATATGTACTTAAAACTGATAACAAATATGCAAGTACCTACTGTATAATTACTTTTGATTAATCAAATATATTGTTTGCTGGGACATATGAAAGTTTTTCAACAAAAACTTCACACATTTGTATTGGAAGAATATGAAAACCTAAAAAAATTTTTAAAAAGGATAATTCATGCGCATATTCTACATCACAAGGACTTTCCACAATTATAAATTCATATTATGAGAGTATATATATTTGTATGGGTGTGTGAATATATAAATGTATATATTATTATATTTAATATAAGTTATTTGTACATACGATATATATATATATATACATTATGGGTATACCAACAACTAAGTATTTTTTTTGACTACGTTAATTTTGTGTGCTTAACAATAAATATATCCTAAAAATTTTTATGAAGAAAAATATCCTATTATAAGCATTATTCAATCCTGAAGGAAGAAAAGTTTTAAAACTTCCTATTTCATTTTTTTCTCAAAATTTTTTGTCTTTATTAATTTAGTATATTGTAAATCATTAATATGATAGTTTTAAATAGACTAATGAAGAAACGAAATGCAAACTTTTAATTTAGCTAATTAAAAATTTTAAGAAACAAGGATTTGAAAAAATTTTACTCTTAAATCAATAAAAAAGTTTTAAAAATTTCATAAATACTCTAATAATTTAAAACTTTTGACCAATTTTATAAATGCGCATTATCAGTCTGAACATTGTATATTGTAAATTAAAAGTTGACAAATATATTTGCTTTTTGTCAATTATTGAATTTTAAATTACATTTGAATCAATATAAGATTTTATCTTTATCTTAAGATCTTGAAACAATTTACTTAATGGACCTTAAACAAAATTTGCTTATTTTTACTTTGTGGAAAAATGTGATTCAATTCTTTTGAAGGAAGTTTTTAAGTCCTAGGATGCAAATTACAAATTTGGATTAGATTTAAACAATAAAAATATTTGGGACATTGTAACTTATCTCATTTATCTGAAGTAGGTGATTGGTTAGGTATAGTTACTACCTGTCAAATTTAATATTTCCAACTTTGGCACTTTTGTATTAATATTTTCATCGAATGACTTAAATTTTACTTTAAAAGGCAGGAAGGTAATAAATATAGATTAAAGGTACGATAAAATATGTAGGTACTTACATACATGTACTATTCATAATTTGATGTTTGAAATAATTCATATAAAAATCTTATAAAACACAAGATAATTATTTTAACTGACAAATCTAAAATATTTATGTAAATAGTAATATTTCCTTAACAAAGGTATGTACATATTAGAAAAGTGAAAGAAAAACAATTATAATAAATAATTCTTGTTGCCTGTTTTAATGCACTCGAATTCATCTAACTACAAGAAGTTATGATCTTCTTCCTTCTGCATCTTGTTAATAAATTTTAATGATTGAAATGTGTTGTTAGCTTTTTTACTCTACTTGGTTAAGGTTGATATATCAGATATCTTTCTCTAGAAGCCTATATTGATGTTTTGTTTGTATTGAGTAAGGTTTAGCAAAGAACTATTAATTTTTTTTTATTCATATACCAATATTGAAATTATATTTTTTATGAAATTTTTATGAACACACACCGAAAAACTATTTTTAAAATGAATTTTCTTTTTAAATATTCCTTTTTGTTTATTTTTGCTTTCTTTTTTAAATTGACGTCTAACATGTGTTTTGTTGTTGTTTATTGTTTTACTTGTTACGCCTTTTCGCCACGAATTTCGGCAAATTCTAAGCTCATCTTCTGAAAATATTTATTTCTGAAGACAATTTTAATAAAACACTTTTCAGAATGAATTATGTAAATTACATATTGTATAGATACTAAATATTTCGACAAAATTATCTATTAATTTTTTTTTAAATATTATTTTCTTAAATGTTAATTTAAACTTAAGTTATTAGGAATTAATTTATAAATTATTAGGAATTAAATTATTGATTCATAGTTAATTTTAATAATTTAGATAATTAATAAAAAAAAAGTTAATTTAAAAAATTGAAAACCAATCAATGAACTTTTGTTTTCAAATTTTTTTCTGATTCTTCGTAACTATGTATATAAAAAAAATCACATACACATTTATATATAAAACAAACACATTCAAACATATTTGCTGTGTACATTAGAAAAAAAAACATTCCAAATTATTTACCATTTAAATTGATGAAATTTAATTTTATTTTTAATTTCTATATTTTGATTTGAAAAAAATTTTTTCTGTATCTTTTATTTAGTTAATACACTAATTTTTCTTCAAAATATTTATTTTTTTTTTAAATCCAATCAGATGAATGTGAAATATCTAGCCATCTTTTTTGATCCGCATGCTTAAACTATATATTCTATTCGTTTCAATATATTCACTTTACTTCTTTTTCTCACCTCCCGCTCTAAATAAAAAATTTAACACGAAAAATTGATTTAAAGCAAGTATTTTTTTTTGTTTCTACTTTTCAATTTTTAACACGTTTTTTAATAGTTATTCATTAAATTTATTCTATTTCTTTTATAATTTTTATTTAATTTATTACATTATTTTAATTGTACAATTATGCCACAAATATTTATTAAAAACATGGCATTTCAATCGCGTTTCATATTTTAATATTTTTTCTTCAAAATTTTACTATACATCACACTCACGAACAGTCCACTCCTCTTTTAGTACTACATATTGCACATACTTGTTAGCTCTTTTCTTCTCTTACAAAAATTTGCCATTACTTTTCCTCATATGTGATATGCGCATTGCCTCTAACACCATCATAAGTTGCATACTTCAAAATCTAATTGCTGCCAACATAAAAAAATGTAAATTTTTTAAAATTATGTTGCAGTTCTTGTATTTGTTTTTGTGCATAGAGTTATGACATATGTATTAAAAATTGCATTTGTTCCATAGCTGAAATAAGTTAGACTGTTGGAGCACAATTTGTTAAAGCTGCATTCTATTAAACCCTAGCTGAATCAATTTAAAGGGGTTGAAATGAAAAAAAAAATAAAAATTGCTATAAAATTAAATAGAATTTATTTTATTACCTAGAATAGACTTTTATTTTTAAAGGTTCAATTTTTTCGTTATAAATTTTTCCACATTTGTTACTAAAGTCTAGGAATAATTAATATATTATATTTTGTAATTGGCTATTCGATATTACTCGTATCTACCTATTATTAATTAAGTTTATATGTTTTTAGCGGTAAGGATTATCGTTTTATGTCTTCTCCTTGTAGAATTTTCAAACCTTTTAACGTACGTACTATATTGTTATATTGTTACTTATCGCTGTCATTATTGTTTATTTTTTCAAATGAAAAATAATTTGGTATTTTGACACATTTCGTTAAAGTGAAAAATTTTGTATGACATTTGATTAAAAAAACTTTTCCACAAACTTTTATTAAGCTCATTCCCAAAAATAGGAATGCTGCTGAAAAACTTGATTGATGCCAGTTTACCTGATTTGACATACTTTGCTTTTTGTGATATGACATACAATGTACATAATTATAACGTTTTAATCTCTTAGCAAAAGATTTCACGAAGTAAAAGTTATGAAAAAAAAAATTAAAGAAGGAATCTATTGTTTCAATTCCACAATTCCAAGTTTTTCTATTTTTGGCAGTAAAAATAACATATCCATCCTACTTTTTAATTCAATATGGGTTTTATATCTCAATTACCTAGCATTTTAATTATTTTTTAAAATGGCAGGTTTGACAATCGCATATCTGAATATCACATACCGTGTTACATATTATCGAGAGATGCGAATATTTCTGTCAAATTAAAGGTAAATTTAAGACAATTTTAAATATTAAATATTTATTGAGTTTTTTAATTAGTGAGATGTAAACTAAAATAAATTATGTACATATATATTAACAATATTTGAAACTATTTTTGATATTCTTCACTTTCATTGAAAAAAATTTTTTGTGATTTTACATATATTAAATTAATTTATTTTTTTTCGTTAAAAAATTTATTACTTTGCTTAATGTAAGGATATGAGAAAAGTAAAAGTAAAATGGGAAAACTACAGTTATTTTTGGGAATTCTGAAAAACGATTTTGACAACTCTAATTTGTATCTCGTACACGAAAAAGAAAATAAAAAAAAATGTGTTGTCATTCGGTAATAATAAAGATTGAAAGTCCAATTGATTAGCCAAAACTTATTTATCAAGATTTATAAATATAAAACAATATTAGTTTAAATAAAAATTATTGTATTGTTCCAGCGGTCAGCATCTGTGAGTAATTAATAAGTATAAGATAAAAATTCGTTTGCACTTTAAATGTTTTAAATTATAAATGTTTTTGTATATTTTTACGCATTTAGATGTAAATGAATCCTTTAAATTACTACGAAATTTTAAACAGCAGAAGCTCAGATAGTATTCAAACCATTAAAGAAAATTATCAAAAATTAATACTTCTGCATCATCCTGATAAAAAGTTAGGTTCCGCAAACACATCGGACTATAATTTTGAAAATAAAAATTATAATGGTGAAGATGTATTTATTTTAGTAAATAAAGCTTGGAATGTTTTAAGAGATCCTATAAAACGGAAACAATATGATGCATTGATTTATGAAAACGAAATAAGTTTGTGTAATAATGTTTTTGCTGAGTTGGACTTCACGGAATTGAAGGAAAATTATGAAACAGATTCTTCAAAATTTTGGACTTATCAGTGTCGGTGCGGAGGAAGTTATATTTTTGAAGATTTAAAACAATTAGATTTACATAAACTTATTGAAATCGAGTGTAATGAATGTTCCTTAATTATAAGAGTTTCAAGAAAATGACGTGATGATTTTGCTCTTTTAGCGTTATTTGTTACTTTTTTGGAAATATGTCTACTTTCTAATTAAAAAAATAATATTTTTAAAGCTTATATATTTTTTTATCTTGAAATGATAATGCATCCTATTTTATTAAAAAGATTCTATTGAGTTTTCCTAACTGGAAATTTCCACCAATTAAAGTTTCGATATTTGGAAACTCTTCGCCAATAATATTGTATACAGCACATTGTTTATTAGATTTTTTACACACACAATTTCTTTATTTTAGCAATACATAAATCTATATAAAGTTGTCTGTAAGCTACTTTTTTATAGTTGAGTATTCAAATAATTTGTGGAAAACAATGTTTTGACAGCTTTAAATAATTCTAATGTTATTAATTAATTTAAATAATATACATATGTATATGGCATTTGGATGTCTTGCATATCTTAAGGTCTTGTGATTGACTTCATACGGCATAGGCCATAATTCTAAACTTTGCTAAATACTTATACAAATATTTTTTTCTATTTGTAGCACTTCCTTATTCTCTTTTGTATAATTTCTTGAAATTTTGTGGTTCCTAGTAGTTGTAGGTTATTTTTTAATTTTATTCTAAATTCAAAAGAAAAGTTTTATCAGTGGGGTTTTTAGAATTCAAAGTATAATTTAATGAAAAAAATTGAGAAAAATTTCACAGTTCACGTAGCGCATATGTGTCACTCGGCAAAATAATACAGTCTTTTGTAGCAGTATTCATTCTAGACTTACATTTATAATAAACACAAGTTCAATTATTTGTTAATATTGTAGAGTTTGTAAGAAATACTTCAATAACATATTATTATTAATTATTTCGTACTTGATTTTGGGGTGATACTGGAATTTTTCCAGCATAGTTATTTCAGGTTAGAGCTAAGAATTAATTGAAGTTTATTGTTATATAACTCATATTTGATCGCTTATTAAATTTCTAATACTTTAACTTTTGCTGTATATTAAAAACTTTGCCTCCGTTTAACCACAATTTTAATTAATTTTCGTTAAATATGTATGTAGTTTCTATGTAGTGCATATTATTTTAATAAAATAATCAGTTTTATAATTTGTTCAAGTTGTTTTTAATTTTATTTTATTGCAAGTATGTATTCACATAAATAAAGTTTTAAATTAAAATTTACAGAAATCTGATAAATTTGAAAGATGAAATCTCCCAGTTCAACTAAGATGGATGATACGTCTTTAAGTGGCAAAAGATTAAAGTATTCTATACTTTTTGTAATTTCAAGCCTTATTGGATTTTCATTATCATTTTATGCCGCATATGTTGAAAGTAAAGTTGAAGAGAACCACGATTATAAAGCAATGTGCGACATAAGTAGTAAAATTAGCTGTACGAAGGTTTTTTCATCAAGGTATAAAAGTCAATATTGGAAAATTTTATTAAAAAAGCTTAAAAATGTTTTTTTTTTTATAGCTATGCGAAAGGTTTCGGTGTACTTGGAAAAGTTTTTGGAGAAAACTCATTGTTAAATCTTCCAAATGGATACTTAGGGATTGCTTTCTATGGTTTTTTTATGGTTTCGGGTATGCTGTTAATTTTAATATTTTTAATGATTTCATGTACATATTTTTATTTTTTAGGTTTTTTAAATAATGTCACGGTGATAAGAATACAATATTTGTTATCGATATTGTCAGTTTTACTATCGTTTTATTTAGCATATTTACTATACTTTGTTTTGGAAAATTTATGCATTCTTTGTGTTTCAACTTATATCGTTAATTTCATCAACTTGATAACAATTAGAAAAAAATTATCGGTTTCCAAAAGTGAAAGAAGCATGACATACCAAAATAAAATTAGTACAAAAAAACATAAATAAAAAATGAATAATAATTATTGTTTTTTCATATTACATTCCAGTTAATCTGATGAAATTATCTAGTCTTAAAAACCGTATAAAACATGTAATATAAAATGTTTATCATTATATTAAAATATATATGTACGTATTTTTAATTTTGCAACAAGTTTTCGTTGTTTTTTTTTTTAATCTGATTCCCTCCTAAAAAAAGAAAACAGTAAATAAGCTGGGAATCATCAAATTTCCGAGGAGTTTTTCGAAATGAATGGCTATATTAAATGGTATAATATATGAATGCTTTCTTAAATAATTATTAGATGGCGGAAAACTTTTGCAAGTACATAATTAACAACATTTTTACTTGCTCAAGAATCCAAGTTATATTTCAAAAAATTTCAACTTTAATTAGTATATACACGCATAATGTATATAAAAACTGTGAATTGGAATTATTAAACCATTGAATCACAAAACGGTTTTTAAATTTGTATTACCTGGTAACTAAAAATGAAGTGCATACATATTTTAAATGTATTGCTTTAAAATAATGATAAAAATAATTTATGGAGAGAAATAAATTGATTGAATTATGTTACGCAATTATGTTATTTATTTTGAAAATTTCTCAAAACCTCAGTACATATTTGAGGTTCAATAGAGCATTGTATGCCCATTTTATTCGCAAAACCTAAACACATTTTATATTTGAACGTTTACTTTTTTATTATAAACTTTTCCGTTTTTGAACACCTTTAAATAATTTCAAACTTTTGAAACGATAATGAGTGAATTAATGTTCATCACTTTTTAAGTTTAAATAAATTAAAATTCTTTTTCTACTCAGTACAATGTACACACTTAACATTTTAGGCAAAGTGGGCGTCATAAATGTATGTATGGATACATATGTACATACATTTATCAAGGTATTAATATATATATATTTATTTTTAGAAAAGAAGAAATGTTATCATAAACTTAAAAGCTTTTTTTTCAATTTCAAACGATCATTAAATTATGAGACATTGGATAAAATGTTCGGGAGTATATGGTATTGAATAATCAAGCCTTTATTTTTCTTACATTAAAATATTTTGAAAATATATTTATGTTTACTTATAATTTTTATTCAAGATTTTTGTCTTCAGTTTATGTTGATTAACATTGAAATAATTCCAGTACAAAAATGTAAAATTTAATATTTGAACAAGTAAATAAATTTGTCATAAATTTTTACTTACTTACATATATATATATACATAAACGTACATACATATATGTAAAAATTTTTCTCAAATTTTGCTAAGTTAAAGAAAAAAAGCAAGCAAATGTAGGTTGAAATCATTATTATTTATGTATGTACATATTTGAAAATGTAAATAGAAATAAAAGAAATATTAAAAATACCTACCACGCGGAATTAGTTCTAGTTTCTATCCAGGTGTATATGGTGAAATATAAAATATTTTATATATTTACGCAATTTTTTTACAGGTATTTTATTATTTATTTAATGAATTCTTTAAATAAACTATTTTTCAAAAAATAATTGGATATACATATATAATATATATGGTATAGATAGTTAATAATCTTATATTAATATTAATATGAAGTTGAAGCGGTTTTTTTTTCTTTAAATTTTAATAAAAATTTAATCTCTTCATTAATAATTGTGTTTCAGTTCCAATAAAAATTGTATAGAAAATAATATAAGACTTGATAAGAGTAGCAGTCTGATGGTAATCTGTTCGAATAGTGTAAGTTAAGTGAAGTAAAATAGTTACCATTTGAATTAAATTTGCATCAAAAATATTTACTTTAGCATATGTATATTGTTGTAAAGTCAGTCAAAAAAATTCACAAGATTCAATAAATACATAATAAATTTTCATTATACTGGTATAATTTAAGAAATGAATTCACTTCCGATTGCATAGCATACAGGCGCAATTTCTTTAATACGTCATGGTATACATTAAGAATATTATTTTCTATATTACGATTAATTCATCTTTGTTAATGCATCCAATTGCATTTTGGTTCTTTTTTAATTAAAAAATAAATTTTTTACTGGTTTATTGTATTATAGAAATTTAGTAGGAATGTAATAAGGTATGGTACATGAATTATTTCTTATAATGAAATACCAACGCAATATTCTATGATATTTTCAATAAATTGTTTGTAAAATTTATAAATTATGTACTCATATCTGTGTTCTCAGAGGATACTTTAGAAAGAACATAATATGCTTCAGAAAATTTAAAATATTATGACGTTAAAATCATTACTCTTGATCGAGGTATACAACCTTCGAAAATTTCATTAAAGTAACGTTAATGAAAATATTGAATAAATTATGTATATTGTAGAATAATTGCAAATTATCAATAAATAGTCAAATATTATGTTTATTATTGTACATCCATTATATTGTACGAGTATACACTATATAGATAAATTAGCAAAAGAAAATTCAGGAAAGTAGATGTTTTCATGAGAAACAAAAAATTAACCACACGACATCTATTACAATAATGTTAAAAATCAGAAAGTCAGTTCTTTTAAAAAAAGTTTGCACCACATACATACGTCCAAAAAATATATTTAATATAGTTTTATTTTCCTGTAATATAATATGTATATATGTGCATATGTATTGCATAAATGCATATTAATAAAGACAGGAAAAAAGAAAATAGTTGCCTGCGACTGACACATTTTGAATATTAAAAAAAAAAATAATTAAATCATTGTTAAGTCATCTATAAGTAATTCTAATAGAATTTATTAAAAAAAAAAAAACAAAACAAAAAAATGAATCTTATAAGTAGGCATTAAGATTATAAACCAGGCTTCAATGTATATATGTATGAATGTATGTAGAAATGTTGAATTTACCATTTAGCTTTGTAATTGCGTCGCATTATTACAAAAGCTTATGTATGTATGTATGTACATATATACACAATTAAATATAATAAAATGTATACAAAATTATTATTTAAAAACAAAAACAAAAAATATATATGTACATATGTATGTATATAAAATATAAAAATTTTGTTGACAATGACTTAGTTGATTGCATATATGGTGTAGGCAGAACATGTTACTTTTTTGGAATTAGTCTTGGAATTTTGAGTTTTTTTTTTTTATATTTTATTATTATTATTATTATGGAATGAAGGTGGTTGTGCAAAATTAGTTCATATCGACTTATTAAGTGTTTTGAAAAACTTTTTAACTTTAAAAAAAAAAACAATTTTTTTTTTTTGTGTAGGAACTTGATTTTAACAAATATGTATATAATGTACATACTGGTATAATAACATCCAAATTATTATTATAAATATATATATGTAAATAGCAATATGTACAGGTACATTATACAGACACTTTTGGTTAAAATAATGGTTAAAAATTATCTTGGAATATTTTCTTTAAAATAATTATTGTTAAATTCAAAGCTACATATTATAAAAATTGAGTTTTATAACTTGTAAATTTAAAATTATTAATTAATATGAAGTAGAAAATATAATTAAATAAAAATTATCTCGATTTTTTTATTTGTTTTTCATATTTTTTTTTAAATCTTGCGAATTTACTCTTCTTCTCTATATGAATACAACGTACGTTTTCCTACATTTTAGTACATTTTTAATTTACGTTTATTAAACAAGGAATTTATTTAATAATTTCCTTGTTATTTTCACTCTATCCGTTCATTCATGCGTCTATTCATAAAATTTCTACATCTTTATAGAAAGTTGAAATTATATTTATACTAATGTGTTTTTTCGAAAGGCCTGTCTCACATTTTTGTTTTTACTTAAAGAAAATTTTTCAAATTCCGTAAAAACAGAATAATAGAAACTTTGTTCTTCTATTTTACTACTTACATATTACAATGACAAAATATGGTAGCTGAAGTTAATTATTAAATACTAAACACTTTTTTTTCCCCAAAATTTTAACATCAATTTTTTCTTAGATGATATAGTTGTACAAGTCTATAATTTTACAATTTTGTGAAAAATATTACAAACGTTTCATTTTGCTTCAAATGATCATCACACAAAATTCTAGCTTTAACTCACTTAACTAAAAATCGTGATCGACTTTTAAGTCAATGCTTCTTTTAATATGTTATTATCCTTGAAAGTATGCAAAAATTATTTATATAGCATAATATAATTTTGATATTATGTAAATTATTTTCATATATGTATGTTTAAGAGAAATGTGCTACTTTGTAAACCCATTTGGTTTATACTCATAGTTTTTCTTAATTCTCACAATAATTTCCTGATTCTTGCAATATATCATAAGGTATTAATCCTATTTTAGTATACGTTTATGTCATATGCACATTTATATTTAAAGATAATATTCTTATGAGTATGTAAAGTAAATAAGGACCAAGAACGTATAATATAATAAAAATGTTTGAACGTACATGTTTCTTATATTTAATTATTACAAAATTTTGAATGAACTTTATGTAATTTTTTACATTAAAAATATAAATAAATATACAAGTTTCTCTAGATTTATACTTTTATTTTGATATTAAATAATAAATACATAATATAATTTTTAATTCAAAACAAACCGGCTTTTTCAATTTCATTCATAAAAAAAATATTTGAATGATATAGAAATAGGAGTTTAATTTTGTTTTTTTTTTAGTTTTTTATAAAGTTGTTAATAAAATTGAAAAAAAAATTGATCGCAATGTAAATTATCTTCAATGCAATTTTTATTCAAGTTTAATTTTCTTATAATTTTTTTTGCGTTTGTTTGTTTGTTTGGTACACAATTTTTGTTTTTAAACAAATTCGACTGGTTTTCAAAAATTTATGAAATTTTTTTTCTTCTTTTGGTTCTTGGTTTTAAACACAAAAGATTGAATTTTTTGCAAAGCTTTCGAAAATTTTTATAAAACAAAGACCTTATATTTTGGTATATAGCATTCATAATCAAAAAAAAAAATTTCAGAAAAAAATTTTCATTTTTAAAATGCTAATCTCATTTACTTGATGATTCAGTTGGAATATAGCTACATACTTATCTGTTTTTAAAAAGAAATTTAGAAATTTAAAGAAAGTTTTTTGTTCCTTATAAGAAATTAATAAAAAATTAATATAGATTAAGAATAAGTGCATATATGTAAGAATATAGCTGATTTTCTCGTGACTACAACCTATTTAAAATTGATGGCTTTATTACTACATACACATATGTACGTACCTCTATATAATATGCTTTTATATTTGAATCCAATATGAATTTTACAGTTTCATTTTAATATTCAAATTTGTATAAATGTATATTTATGTTGTATACAAAAATGTATATTTATGTTGGGTTGATATATATATATATACTTTATGTTAGATATAATTTATATATAATATTATTTTTTTTTTGGTCTTTGTCAATAATATTTATTTATTATTAAAATATAAATTTTTATTCTACTTATATATGAATACTTTTAAGTTCTAAAAATGACATTTAAAAAAAAAATAAATTTTATACTGTGCGGTAAAAGAAATTTTACATTACGCTCCTATATGGAACACATATGCAGTAGCAAAGCAAATTTCTTTTACATAATAAATATGTATTGTATAACAGTACAAATTTTTGCTCTGATACATCAATAAATCGATAATGTTTTGATTCAATCTGTGAAGACACATATATTGTTGATGTACATATAATAAATCAAAAAATAATAATGCTAGTAATATATATAAATAGTAATGCCAATAAAAGTTATTTTAAATAATAATAATATTATAATATATTACATATTATGTTGAATATTATAAATTATTAATAACTTAAAATTTTCAATTTAATTCTGAAATATGTAAACACTTATACATATAAGTATTAAATGTATGCATTCCTGCTTTTGTACTTTATATATGGATACTATTTACTATGCTAAGGCATTCAAAATATCCAAAATGCTATGAGAAAACTGTTACTACATTTTGACTGCAGTATTAATACCATATAGTAAAAATTTAAAAACGACCGCATTATAAAAAAAATCCAAATTTGTTTAAATATTTCGGATCACAAGTCTTTTGAAATGTAGTAAAAATGTAGTCTCGATTTCTTCACTATGCTCTCTGCTTTTTTACTGTGTAATTACAACCCATTTTTAGAATCCTGGATTAACATCTTACTACATTGTATAAATTTTTTATTCTACAATATGAATCTTACATATAATGCAGTACTACATTAATATTGCATTTTGGATGTTAGCCATTAACAATGTAATAAATAAAATCAAAATTTATTCTATTATAATATTTTTTTCTTCCAAATTATTCTTATTATTTATTATATTATAAAATTTAATTTATATAAAAATTGTAAGAAAAGTTTTGACAAACGGACAGAAAGAATCAAAAAAGAATTTATAAAAAATAATAATAATTTGTTAATCTTCGATAATTTATTTCTTAATTTTCTGTTTGTATAACACAAACAAATACAATTTATATGTGTACAAACGTATAAGTTTGTATCTAGTCATCAATCCAAAAAAAAAATTTATATATATATATATATATAGGTATAGGTTGGTATATTATTAAATGTACATGTGGTCCAGCCAGTTATAAAGCTTTATTATTATTATTTTGTCGTTATTCAGGTGAAAAATTCAAAACAATTTAGAAAACACAATTTTTTACGGCGAAATCAGTCATAACATTTTATTCATAGGGTTAACATCGATTATAAAAAAAAAAATAATTTTTTTCTTGTATAAACTTTTTAATTTTTTTTTTTCCTTTTTTTTTTTGTTGTTTAAATTGCAACACATTTTTGTGTTTTTTTTTTTTAGTTTGGTTTTTAAAATTTATAATAAATATGTAATTTGTATTTTAAGTTGGGTTGTTGTCAGTGTATATTTGAAATGATAATTGAATCATAACAATGATATGTGCATAAAAATTTTTGAATTTACAATAACAAAAAAAAAATTAATAATTTTTAGAGCGATATAAAGATATTTTTACATATACATACATATACACACATAGAAAAAATTGAAAAAAAAAAAAAATTGTTTAAAATATTTTATTTATGTAATTTTTATTTTAAATATATATGTACATTTGTACGTTTATTATACATACTTAATATAATAAATAAATTTATTTGGTCATTAAAATTTAAAACAAAACGAGTCAAGAGTTAAACGAGCTCAAAAAGAGAGATGATTTTTGATATTTGATTTTTTTTTCCTATTTTTTTTTTTTGGTTTTTATAAGATGAATGATAATTTTTTGATTAACATTTATATATGTATATGTGCGTTTTCTTTTTAGTTGACGCATTATGTATAACAGATAATTAAGTTTGAAATTTTTATAAAATAAAAATATTAATTATACATTATGTTTATAAAATTAAAAATTTAAAATTATAATAATTATAAATATAATAGTTTCTAAATTTACAAAATTAAAAATAATATTTTGCACACAACTTAAATTTTAAGATATAAAGTGAATTTAATTTAAAAAAGAGAAATTTGTGAAAAAAATAAATTTTTGTATACGAAATTTATATAAGAGTTTTGTGAAAATATTTCTTCAATAATATTCATTTAACAAAAATTAAAAAAAAAAAAAATTCAAATATTTATATTATTATAAAGTGAAATTAAAATATTAAAATATTTGTTATACATAATATGTTTAATTATTTCATCCGAAATACAAAACTGTAATATTAACTTTTTTTTGAAATATACAACGAGTATTTTTTATATTATATTTATAATAAATGCAATATATATAAAAAATTTAATTTAATTAAACAAAAAAGAAGAAATCCATTAAATATACGGAAAACAATAAATAAAATAATTGTTATACGTTATATTGATTTAAGTAATCGATATTAAAAGTAATTGTTATACTGTAATTGATAATTATTATAAATTATCTTTAAATATAAGTACGAAATTAAAAAAATTATTGGTAAGTAATTTAATTTAAAATTAAAATAGTTTTTTATAGCATTTGTAGGTCACTTTTATTATTGTATAATAAAAAGAAACCTTTACTTGTTTAAAGGTTACCATTTGTCCACTTATTCCCAAAAATAAGTTATATATAATTTGTTTCTAAAATATATATGTACATCAGATTTATTTACTTTTTTTTTAATATTCTTCGATTTATCCTATTTTTGGAATTTTGTCACTTTTTTTATAAATAACTATGTAGCCTGCTGGTTTCAATTAAATTTTGATAAACTTTTTTACTGTAAGTTTGAAATTTGAACTCTAAAATGGCTAATATAACACTGTCCTTATCTTATAGTTTTATAAATAGTCTTACATTTAATCTTACATTTTTTAAAATGAGGATTGTAAATCATTAATAGAACAAAGAAATTTCAAAGCAAGAAAATTTTGATGTGCTCTGATTAAAATTGATATATTATACAAAAAACAATAATTTGAGCAATTTCGTTGGTCGAAATATTTGTTTTAGCAAGATGCCAATTCTCTCATGTCCTCTTTTCTACATTATATAAAAATGGTCACTTAATATAGCTCACTTACATAATGTGTATACCTATTTGTAAAAAATTTATATAAAACTATAATAAAATATGCAAAAATTCTTATGACGTAAATATGGTTTTTAAGTTTATTTTAAAACTAACTATCAATTATTTTATTTATATAAGATATTTTTCCTTATAAATTATTAAATCGTTAACATTAATGTAAATACTCCTATACTTTATTTTTTTTCAACTATTTAAGGTATCAAACAAAACTGATAATTTATGAATGAGCATATCTTTTTTTTTATATTTACATATAATTAATTGCATGCAAGTATGTTTATTGTATATATTAATATTTGTATATAGGGTGTTCGAGACTCAATTGTATACTAACGAAATAAAGTAGATACAATGACTCTAGGTTAGAATAGGGTGACTGCTGTGACTGAGTAATAAAGCTTGAAAAATTTTGTTTTTGTTTTGAAAACACCTCGGATTTTAAAATTGCAAAATAATGTTATATCAAAATGAAGATCACAAAATACAAGGTTCCACTTCCTGCAAAAAAAACTCTGTATTAATAAACTGTAATATGAGTAAATTGCGAACATTAAAAATATTTTTGGGAAAATTTTAAAAAATTGCACTTAAATATATCCGAAACTAAAAAATATAACGTAGAAGAAGAATTAAATTAGCTTTGAAATAAGTATACAAAGTTGGCTTTACCTCTCATATTTCTCGACCTTCTCAATAAAAATGTAAAAATCAGGTGGTTTTCAGAAATTTGAGGTGTCACAACTCAAGAAGGAGGACACCCTGTATATTAATATTTGTATATTATAGGTTAACATAATTATTGTGATGTCGCAGCGAATGTCTTGCTATAACAAATGATTTGTTTATTTTCTTTACACTATATATAAAAAATTATTATTGTTGATTTTTCTTTTAACTATTATTTAAATGTCATTGAAATTATTTAAAATAATTGTATAATAATAATAATATAATGTTTAATAATAAGATTTATAATGATATATTTAAACTACATATATGAGATCAAAAATAACCAACATATTATATTAAAATTATAATGTTAAAACTTATATATTAATTATACATATGTATATTTATTTAAATATACGTTCATATACTATTTAATGTTAACAAAGAAAAAATATGAATTTTTTTTCCAAAATCAGAAAAGATATACAATTACAAATTATGTATGTGTGTATGTATGTACATACAAAATGGTTTAATTTATCTTATGTATTGTATTTTGTTTTCTCATAATTTATATGATCATCAATTAAGGTGTCAATTGATTGATAAAACAAAACACATAACAAAAATTATAGCTATAGTTTGCGATCAATTTTTTTTTTCAATTTTATTGTATATTATAGCTTTTCTTCAAAATTAAAGAAATCGTTAACCTATCTTTACACATTCTTCTTTCTTTAATTTTAGGTACATACAATATAACCTAAAATTATTTTATTTGCTAAAAATACTATTTATGCGAGTCAATGAATTACATTCACATTAGTGAAAAATATGTTAGCAAAATTATTTATGCAAATTTACAAAACGATAATGTTTTATGTAGGTACCTACATACACATAACATTAAAATTTTAAAATGAAGAAAACATCTGTAATGTTAATTATAATTAACATATTATGACATTTGGGTTATACATATACAATAATGAAGTATATTAACATAATGGTTTAATACATAAATCTATTCAATTTTTTTATGAGTTAAATTAGAAATTTTGCCTTAGAAGATACGAGTACAGTGCTATTCTAACATAACGAACGAAATAATATCGGGGCCGTTATTTATATCGGGTACATCTCAAATAAGAACGTACTCGTAATGTGCTAAAATTGTATTGATTTTTATTTCAAATATGTACGTAATTAAAAATTAGTATTCATCTTTTCTTGAAAATAATTTTCAATTTTTCTTTCTATATGTTCCATTATACGCTTATTTTACTAGTAGAAATACACACGCAAGCAAAAAGACGATCGATTGCAGGAAAAGCGAATAAAACTGACCAAAAAATATTAAAATATGAATAGAATTTGAATCCATATGTATAATAAAAGTTCTAGATAATAATTGCAATAGAAAACCAAAAATTTGCCTTTCCCTTATATAGAAATAAATATTTTTTTATACTCGTTACATGGTGTATTTAATTCAGAAATTTAGCTGTTCGTTATATTGAAGCATCACTGTATATAATCAAAAAGATTTCAAACATGTCATAATTAAATAAAATTTTATTGACTTTAAATAGAAATTGTATAAGTTTAAATATAAGTTTGATCATTAACATTTATGTGGAACCCCTTACATATTTTTACAATTTCAATAAAATATTTTCGAACAAGCCATTCCGATACATATCTAGGCACTATTCCAATTTAATATCCCACTTTAAAAAAAATTAATTTAAAATTAAGAAAAGACTTTTTCTTGTACTAGCTATTTATATATTTTAATGTTGCGTTGTTTAAATTATAATTTTGATTTGAATTTCTTGTTGCCATTTATTTCTAAAAAAAAAAAGGTTTTTTTTTCTGGTTTTTTTTCGAAATAATTATGGCAATAGAATGAAAACTAGTATTTTCGTAATTATCTTGAATTGGTTAATCATTACCTTATTAAAATTAAAAAATTAAATAATTTCTTTAACTTTGTCTTTTATCTCGTAATATGTATACCTACACGTCTGTTTTTTAATTGAATAAAAAATAATATATATGTAGATAAAATTTGTGAGCATAATTAAAGTACATAAATAAAGAATTTTATATGAACATATAAGAGTATATTATGTACATATATATGTATATATGTACTTATGAAATAATGTTAATACAAGTAAAGTCAAGTATGGAAGCATTTCGTATTGACGAAAATAAAGTTTCGAAAACTCTTTTGAAACACTAAATACAATGACATTGCATTGTCAAACAAACGTAAAGTTTACATTTTTGACATTTTGGAATACAAATTTTGATTTTATGAAAATTTCTCTTTAAATTGACATTATAAATAAGATTTAATAAGTATTATTACCATCCACCTTAAAATTTCCACCTTATTGCTTATTTTATACACCAGAGCAAACGGAAAAAAACAAAAACTAGGGCTATGTCAATTGAAATATTAACTAACGCATATACTAGTAATATTTAATGTCAAAATTTACAAAAATCATCCAGAATTTTTCGGATGCTCGATGTGTTTTTCTTTGCTTTTCAGAAATGCATTTTATATATATGTAATTAGAAACGTATAACATTGTAAAATTTTTTTAAAACACAACATGATACGTTGTCCGTATGTTTACAGTTTTTTTGCAATGCGGATTATTGCCTTATGTCATAACTATAACGTTAGTAAAGTAAGATAAAGTCTCTAAATTCAATATGATTTGTAAATAAATTTTTGTTTAATTACAGAAATTGTATCGTGTAAAGTAGTACTTTTTGATTGTATCGAAAGCTCTATATGGGTACTACCGTAAGTATAGTACAAATTACTGCCTGTAATACAATAAGAGACTAACAACGATTTTCTATATAAAAAAATCACAATGATTGCTTTCATTAAAATTGCTTTAATGATTACGCTTTTTGAATTATAATTGAAAAGTATAAAAGATATTGAAAATTCTTATGGGAATTACACTTTTTAACTAAATACCTTTAATTAACTAAGTGAATTTCTTAATTTTTTATAAATGAATATTAATTAATATATTTGTTTATATGCAATTATTATGTAATTATAAAACATGATTATATATACATAAATAAGTACATCTTGTCCGGTTCCAATTATTACGATTTATTTCTGCTGGCTATTACATGTAAATAATTTAGAAACTTATAGTAGACTTTACTTTAGATATTTTCTAAAATTACAATATTTTCATCTTATTTACTAAGTAGTATATAAGTTCATATGTGTATGTAGGTTAGAAATTAAAAATTATTCAAATTTAAATTCCTAAAATACACTCGGTTCGAAAGAGTTAAATTAAAGAAGCTATTTAATATATTAAAAAAGTGGATGACTGGCGAAGAATAATAAAAATGTAAACAAATTAATTTTATTTTTTTTTTATCTTATAAAAAATTCATAGCACGTCTGTATTTAAAAAATAAAAAATTCTCATAATAAAATTAAAATATATTTAAATTTTTTCAAATTAATTTTTAATTTTTTTCCTATTGATTTCGTATATAAATATTTAACTCGTATATTCTCGATATGCATTTTAATTTTTTTTTTATTTGTTTAATTAATCAGTTGATTGAGTATAGGAAGAAATATTGTAATTTCGATTAAATATCTATTAAAACCTCATTTCTAATTTTAATCTAATTTGAATTTTATTTCCCTGATCTAATTTACAATTTTCTA